GACTATGGAAGGGGTGCACAGAAATTTTGTAACCAACTGACACACTTTTTATAATTTGTAATGGCAGATAGTTTTAATGTTTTCTGTTTTTTTGTTTTGTCCTTTTGTGTTTGTTTAAAAATAAAAATAAAAAAAATAAAAAAACCAATCTGGCTACATCTCTATCATAAAAATGGGATGCTTAACTTGTTACAGAGTCAGTTTGGTGCAGTGGTTAAGACTCCAGATTAGAAACCAGGAGACTGAGAGTTCTAGCCCTGCTTTAGGCATGAAAGTGGCTGGATTATTTTGGCTAGTCATTCTCTCTCAGATCAGCCCATTTCATGGGGTTGTAGGGAAAAGAGGAGGAAGAAGGAATCCTGCCATCACTGTTTATAGAAATATAGAAATTTATAAAAATAGTGAAGTAAAACCTAGAAAACTGTAGGGGAGGCAGTTACCAGGAGTGAAGATTGAGACACATATTTTTTAATTTACTTCCATGAAGTGCTGTAATAAAATTTATCTTTTAGTTTCCGCAGTTTTCTTTCCCTATGAAAAAAGATTTTCTATTTTATTCACAGGGAACGTTAGATATATTTGTGATGATTGTTTTGATCCTGTTTATTGTTGCAAGATTTAAAACTGCTTGTATTATTGTTGCAAGATTTAAAACTGCTTGTTTCTTGTTAAACATATTTTACATTCTTTGTACTCTTTTCAATTATTCATGCTTTCTGATTTGGAAGAAACCCCCTACTAAGGAATTCCCTTATGGCATCTTCCTTTGGAATTTAATTGAGGCATGGGAAACCAGTGAACCCTAGACCTTTGACAGGAGGATTCTTTGACAGGACACATACAACACACAATTAGTTGCCATGTAGCTAAAATGAGAAAAAAAAGTCTTATGGATTAAAATTCTGCTGAGATTATCCACTTTGTTGAGATGTATGTGGGAAAAATTAAAAGCAATTTTACTTAATCAGATTAAGCCAAAATGATTGAAAACATCAGAAAAAAAATGTTTGGCATTTTAAAATTAGGATAACTCTTTGCGGAATGCAAATGCAGAAGATGAGGAACTGGGGTCCCAATTAAATCATGATTAAAATGAGAAAGAATGATTGAACAAATACACATGACTAGGATTTCAAACTTGAAATCCTGTCTGTCTCTAGAGGATATTAATAATATGAATGCAGTGGTCAACAGATGAACGTTGAAGTAACTTCTCTTTTGTTTAGAACATTTTACTAAATTTATTGGAAAAGTGATTTCCCAAATCTGTTCTCACTAAACCTCCTAAACTGTCTACCTCTTTTTTTAGTCCCTTCTGCTCAGTGTGTGGCTTTCCAAGGAAAAGATCGTTCTTCAAAGAACCCAGTCAGTTTGCTGCCTTCAAGCTGCGTTGTCACTTCTGAGCAGAATGACAGGTGGGAGACGTTCAGTGAACATGCTCAATTTCTGAAAACAGGCAGTTGCCAGAACTTGAAAGCAGATATTACAGACCTAATGTTGCATGCAAATAAAAAAAAAATTCCCATGATGTCATTGAAAAGATCTGAATATTCACATGCTCTGTAGAGAGTTTAGAAAATTACCTTGATGGAGATATGCAAGATCCGTTATAAAGCAATGAAACACTTCTTAAGTCCACACAAATATAAAGTGTGGAAGAGGTTCAGATAGACACCTTCCCAATCCATAATGTTATAAGAAGCGGGAGGAGGTATATAGCATGATCATACTTGCCCAATTCTGTTATAGCCACTCCCAATAAAAATAGTTTTAGACTTTGTGTGCAATTGAAATCAACCTTGCAAGTCTGATAATCATCTCTCTTTTCTTGTCACTCCCTATTGTTAACAGATCTTGCAAATCACCATCAAGGTCATCTCCCTTACTCTCTACACATGCTCAGCTGACAGACTTTGCAAATACTCCTTTGATCTTACTGTGGGTAGTTAATTCTCTCCCCTTCTTAACAGCTACCTGGGGTCTCTAAATGTACAGATATCCTTACCTTTGTTTTTAATAGTTTCTCTTAGTCTATCAGTAAACAAGTTTCCCTGTTCACAAGTGAATATTTGGGAATAAAACCTCTGTAACAAATGCATTTTCTAACTGTTGTTGACATCCCATGTGCATGTTTTTGACTTTGGTTGCTACAGATGATTCTTGGGATTCTCAGTCCATTTCCCCCTGGTGGCAGCAGATGAGAACAGCTTGTATTCAGTCTGAGAATAATGGAGCTGCTTTGGTATTTGCTCATGTTGGGCATTCAGTAACAGCACAGATAAGTGATAGTGTTGCAGAAAAAAAGGTATGTAACTTCAGATTCTGTCCTTTGGTTACAAAGGGGAAAAAAGCCTACCCCAAAATAAACAACCAACTCTTAATACTTGCCGCTAAACATCCAATTATAAAGTATCTTGGAAAATGTACAAGTGAGGTCTCATTGTTTAGGCAATGACTGGATGCAACTAAATTTCATATGTTGCTTACCCATTATGAATACTATGAAATGGCTGTACTAAACTGTATACAGCTACTGCCAGGCCTTTGAACCTGCTGTATAAAGAAGCTAGGATTTCTGTAATTCTCTCACTAGCAGATGCCAACAAACTTTAGGGGTCTCCTGGTTTGTTTTTAGAAGAAAATTTTAACTGACTCAGTGCTGGTGTCTTCTTTGGTGCCTTGATTCATTTGTTTACATTTCTAAGTTACAATCACTTTATAGTTTATTATTGTTAATAAGCACATTAAGTGCCAGTAAAAGAAATGTAATGTAAACAAAATACAAATGTTTCTTCTTACTAAACAAAAGTTGACTGTTTTTGAATTTGCTCATGCTCTATCTCAGTCCTTGTATGAACACAGATCATAATACATGTATTTATATTATCACGTCCTTTCCCCAAGGAGTTGAAGGGATGCAGATCTCCCTGTTCACTCGTTTTATTTTTAGATTAAATAGAGCAGTACTGCCGGCTTCTTTCCATCCTCAATTTAAACTTCTGGCAATTTAATATGAAATGTGTAAACATCTTATGTGTATTTACTCAAGGTGCATCTCCTGCTGTTTCTCATCTCTAAGGGAACCTTCTTAAAAATAGCACATATGAATACAATACGTATGTACTGAACATATGACAGAATGCTGTAACTTGTTTTCTTACTTCTTCATTGAAGTTTGTAAATCTGGACTTTCTGCACGCAATATGTAAAATGTCAGCTTGTTAATATGAGAAGTTCACAAAGCATTTTTTTATTAGTTTCCCCAAATAACTGTAGGTGCTGATACAGATTCCTGGGAAGCCCTCTCTCTTGATATAGAATACTGGAAGCTTCTCCTGAAACAATTAGAGGATTGCCTAATACTTCAGACACTCCTGAATAGTAAACTGAGCAAGAAGACAAGCCCAGTTTCTTCTTTGCAGGCTGAGCCCCTCGGGAGACTTTCTGTAAAGAAGTTGCTTGAAGGAGGAAAAGGTGATCCCCCTCCCAAAAGGGTTGGGATGGAAAAGGGTGGTGGTTAATTTCTTCTCCTGGGGTAGCTGCTTGGGACTCAGCCCAGGAAACTCTCCAGAGTAATGTGTGAAATAGAGTAGGAAACTGCAGAGGGCACTGAGACTGACAGTGTATTTCCATTGAAATCCTCTTGGGGACAGTTTCATGACTTGAAGAGTTTTATTTGGGAACAGTCTGAGCTGGTTTCAACCATTTTATCTTTAATAAAGTCCAAATTCCATAACAAATAGAATTACAAATGTGTATGCACATAGAATAATAAATAAATAAGAAGCCTGCCTAAATGTCACATTGGCACATGAAACTTGGTCTGTGGAGGATGACACACCTTTCCACCCTGAGTGGTCCAGTTCATTCCAATTTTAGTTCTTCCCTCATGCCCTGGAATCTGGTGTCGTTTTCATATATAAAAACACTCTGGTTTAAAAGGTATAATATTGATACAGTTTATAGTCTCCTCAAATCCTGTAGGGCCAGTCATCCTGAGAAGGGTTGAGTAGCATGAGAGGTAGAAGAGAAGCAAGGGAAGCTCAGAAGGCTACCAGCATTCCTGGGCTATGCTGAACACAGTGGTGGAATTCAATTTTTTTTTACTATCAGTTCTGTGGGCGTGTCTTGGAGGGCTTGGCTTGGTGGGTATGTGAGTAAGTAGCTGTGACCAATTCAATGTCACTCCCACCCAGTCACATGACGCCCCCCCAGCCACACCTACCCAGATTTTGTGGCTTCCTGTGTGTTCTGTGGGAAATGGATCATGTGACTGGGTGGGCGTGGCCAACTTTATTGGTCTCACCCTTAGAAAATTTCTCCTTAGTCCAACTCACAATAAAATAGCACTGTTCCAATATTTAGAATATAATAGAATAACAGAGTTGGAAACGACCTTGGAGGTCTTCTAGTCCAACCCCCTGCTTAGACAGGAAACCCTACACCACTTCAGACAAATGATTATCCAATCTCTTCTTAAAAACTTGCAGTTGGAGCATTTACAACTTCTGGAGGCAAGTTGTTCCACTGATTTAAGTGTTCTGTCAGGAAATTTGAGGGGCTCCCACAAAAATGAGAAAGTCAATCTATTTTCCAAAGCACCAAAAGGCACAACAAGAAACGATGGATGGAAACTAACCAAAGAGAGAAGTAACCTAGGACTAAGGAGAAATTTCCTAAGGGTGAGACCAATCAACCAATGGAATAGATTGCCTTCAGAAGTTGTGGGTGCTCCATCACTAGAAGCTTTCAAAAAGAGTGAGGGAAGTACACCCCAAAAGGACAGTGCCAGGCACCATTAAAACAATGCAGAAAACTTAAAACAGCCATTCCCTCTTTTTTTTAAAAAAAGTCAACCCCAAAGCAAACGCAGCAGCTGAGAGGGAAACTAAGAGCAGCTGCTCAGGCTAATTGAAAGCCTTGGTGTGCTGCCAAAAGCCATTAACCTTTCCAACTCTATTGTTCTATGTTCTCTATGTTCTAAATGGGATGCTTCACAGCAGAAGCAATATAGCTGGCTGGATCACACATGCATTAAATTCATGGCCTGTATGAATAAGATGCATCATTGTCCCCTCCTGTATCTTTTCTCTCAAGAAAAAACAAGAAGTAGCCAACACTGCAGCAGCTATAAAAGGTCTTAGGGAACTCCAGAGAGTATCAGCTGATCACAGAAGCATTACTTAACACTTTTTATAATGAAAATGCTTGTAATCTTGTCCTTCTTCCTGAAGGGAAGAGATTAATCCCATCCCTAGATGGGTGATTGATGGGTTTCCCTGCCCTAATCCTGTCAGTTTCTGCTGCTGTTTATTTACTTGGTACAGTATGTATGGGCTGCATTCCAGTTGCAGCTGTTAAGTGGAACTATTAACTGAAGGGAGGGAGAGAGAGAAAAATCCCCCTCTAGCACGGGTTCTCTGAACTGCATAAGCAATTAACTAACGGTTCGGGGAACTGGTGAGAACTGCTTGAATCCCACCTATGGCTAAACTCCCAGACACTGTCCTTCAAACCATTTTCATCTTACACCTGTTGAAACATGCACAGAGACAGCAATCTACACTTTCAGACGCATAGGCATGGAGAAGACGATCGACTATTTAAAGAATCGACATTAAAATATAGTATGCTGCTTGTGAGACAGGAAGTAGTATAGTCATCACACCTCTATATTTATAAATGTTTTAAGTGTTCATAGATAAAATGAAATCCCCAATATAGTAGTCACTGAGAACTAAGCATTCCATGAATTTGTCCAGTCCTATCTCCCTATTTGTGCACTACTATATCCAATGGCAGCAAATTCCATAGTTTAAGATTACAGTAGAAAGAAAGAACTATTGGGGAAAATTTGCAAACTGATCCTAAACCTTGTTCACTTTCCTTTAGGAGGCGTTGCTGACAGTGTAGCCAAATGGATTTTTAAGCAAGACCTCAGTTTGTCCTTACTCAGATTAGGCCGACAGAACAATGAAGCAGAAAGCAAGGAGAAACCACAGCAGACTGACAGCAATTTTGTAGGTGAAGGTGGAGAAGACCAGCCGAGCATGGAACCCATGTTAGGTAAAAAAAGAATTCCTGGCATGCTCTTTATTTCTGTTTATTGCAGCAGTAGAATTCAAAATAATAATCATCCTTTCTTAAAACGTGTTCTCAGAACTACTCCGTTTAGCATACGAACAGTTTCCTTGCAGCCTGGAGATGGATGTCCTCCATGCTCATTCCTGCTGGGAGTATGTTGTACAGTGGAACAAAGACCCAGAGGTAAAGGAAGCCTTTCATTTCCTTACTCCTTGTGTTTTTTATGATACGCACAATCTTACCTGACCTTTTCAGATAATGACAGTAATTCATTATTTTTTGTTCAGGCTCTGTAGTTAGAAAATAGGTAGGCTTAGGAGCCGAGGTGGCGCAGTGGTTAAATGCAGCACTGCAGGCTACTTCAGCTGANTCTGTGCTGGTTTGCTGCCAAGGACCTGTCTGTCTATTAATTAAATGCCGTAACCTATCTTTGGCTCGGAGTGTGTGTTGGTGTGGGACAAGGGGGGTCAGAACAGGAACTATACCATACCTGGACATTTTATGGCCCATGGGCCACATCTAGCTCTTTGGTTAGCTCTGTGTGGCCTGCGGCATTGATGTTGGCAGGTGGATGTTGGCCTTGGGAACAGAACATTGGGGTTGGGGTGGTATTAGGGGAGAGGAGCAGGCATTGGCAGAGTTATTGGGGTGGGATGGCGGCAGCGGCAGCCCTCCACAACAGTCCCAGTTTATCATTGGCCCTTTGGGGAAATTGATTGCCCTCTCCTGGACTATACTGTAGCATTTTGAGATCCTCCTTTAGGAGAACAAGGGAATGCAGTAATATATGATAGAAACATTTCAGAATCAAATAATTCTCTCCCCTTCAGGGATTGTTTTGACATCATTCAAAAATGGGAATTGCTCACTGGAAAAATGTGTTGTTTAAAATGAATAATTGTATCAAATATTTTCATAAGTGTATCACTGGAGATTTGCTTGTATTCTTCCTTTGAAGCTTATGTCAGATAAATTCATTTTAAGATCCATTATAATGTTCTGTATGGTTTCATCCTTCCTTCAACCTGCTTTGAGGAAGAGCTGTAATCATCTTTATGGTATTCCACCTCCAGTCTTGCTATTGATATTTTTTCATATCAAGGTCTTTTGAACTAGTAATAGAGGGAGGGAAGGTATCCAGAGTGACTATATCAGTCATCTGATTGAAGTGAGAGACCAAGGTTTCAGCTGAAAAGACTAGATATTCCACCAGGAATTCTGACAAAGCGTTACGCTTTTTAGATAAGATCCTAAAGCAGATAAAGATTGCAAGGCAGCCCAAGGAACATGATTTGGTTCCATTTGTATAAAATAAGAATTTGAGACAACATAATTAATGATATTTATGAAAGTAAACCCATACTTTTTGTTTGAAAGACCTGCATTGCTTCAGTAGGAAAAGATACAGTCAAAATATTAAAATTTTCAAATAAATGTCTGGAGGACTCTTAATGATTGTGGCTTGAATGTTAATTTTTCAACACTGGGAGGTAAATCAATTGTTGCGATGGCAACTGAGGAAATAAATAAAGTAGGCATGATCAAGGAGACAGCTTTGTAGGAAATTCATTTTGCGGATTAGCATTGTAAGCTGGAGAATTCATAGAAACATCTTCCTTAGATACTTCTTGTTACGAGCTTTCAAATGTTGCTTTTTCTTTTGTTTGGATTTGATTTAACTGCCTGTTTAATGGGAAGTTGACACTTAACTTGCCTACTGACAAAACCTATCCAGGATTTAACTTGATGAAATGGTATCCTCTTGCCGGCTGTTGTACACTGAAAATACCCTACTTAGCAGCCTGCTTAATGAAGCTGCAGAAAGCTTTAACAGCTCAAATGTGCAATTCATTGACCACATTCATTGAGACTAATGGGCATTATTTTACTGTCTGTCACTCTGTCTAGAGATGGACTATATTGATGAAGGGCTGCTACAGTTCTGTACAAATAAACTAAAACTGCTGCAGCTTCACGAGTCAGTCAGCAATCTAAATTCTCAGAATATACAGCCTGAGACAGAGCCATCTGATAATGTAAGTATTGAGAAACTTTAATTTTATGAAAAGAAAAACACCCTTGAAAGGCAGACATGTGTATTAAAAAAAGTAGAAAAAATCATACAGCCCTCTTTTTAAAATAAAAATATATTTATGGTATATAAGAATGATATGTATTTATGGAGTTTGTGAGCACAATGGAATCTTCCTTCTCCAGGCAAGAAGACAATATTTATAGGTCAGTGTGGAACTGTGGCGTCGTTGGTGCTTTCTAAGCTTGGTTGTTTGCTTACAGACGTTTCAATACCCAACTAGGTCATATCATCAATGCTCCCTGTAGCGCTAATCAAGTTCAGTTATAAAATCTCTGTAAGCAAAAGACCAAGCTCAGAGAGCACTACGTTTTCCACAGTCTTCCTACTCCTTCGGTCTTGGACTGGACTGGACTTGCATTGGACAAGGAAGCCCATTTATGCAGGTAGATCTACGGCATTGAACTCAGCTCTTTGAATTTACTGTTCTGAAATTGGAACTGACAATATTCTGCATTAAGGAGATATTTTATCAAAAAACTGGTATCTTAATTGTGTTGGTGTTTAACACGTGAACCATAGGGAAGTATCAAACCTTGTTTTATATATTGTGTTTTTGTAGACTTAAAATGATAACATGAAGATACAAAAATAATGGCACTAGAATTGGGCAGCAGTTGGTCAGTGCAATACACTTTTTGTGGTATATTTCTTATGAGATCTATTTTTTGCTTTTCGCAAAATTATATGGAATAATTTGAAGTTCTTCTATGATGCTATTTTCAATAGCCTTCTTGAGAAAAGCTTTGACTTATGGCTACAATTAAATTAGTTCTATTAGTATTCTAGGTCACTTCAATCTATGTATTCAGCTCAAAATAGAATGTATTTTAAATTAACTAATGGGCAGCTACATTTTTGAAATGTGAGCTATACCAGATGTCCAAGCAAACATTTTTAGAAATATCAATACATTCAGTTGTTGCATGAAATAAATTCAGTGCATGTAAGATCCTCTCAATTTTCTGCAATGTTAGAAGGGATATTGGGAAAAATATCCTGAACCATGCAACATAACAACTACTTAGCAAAATATCTTAAATCAAAATTTATTATCAGAATAATTGTGATGAATGAATATGAGAGCAGTTTCAAGGATAAATCTGACTTTCTCTTATTCATGTTTTATTGCTTTTAAGATCTTGGCTAAATTACTCCGGTTAGATGAAAAAGAATTCACTAGGCTGCAGATGTTACTTGAGAAGTACAAACAGCAGAATACCCAGCCTTCAGTACATTTTGAAGAGGATAAAGATGGAATGCTGCCTGTGAAAACTTTCTTGGATTACCTCGATTATGAAAAAGATACAATTAATGTGAAAAAGCTAGATGACAAGGAATATGTGGCTTTAGGTATGAGCTTGGATTATTAACATAACCTTGACTAAGGAGCTCGGGTAATAGATTTTTTAAAAATTTAGTTAGGAAGTTTTTCTGAAGCTCCCTGAAGACATTAATATTAGGAAGTATTCGTTATGCTTTACAGAGCAGACTAAAGACTTGCCTTGATCTATGCAATGCAAATAACATTGGTTTAGTGCAATGGGAACAAGATTGTATACAGGTAGTCCTCAATTTACGAACACAATTAGGCCTGAAATTTCCATCATAAGTCATTCCATTGCAGTCATAAGTTGAGCTGGACCCAATTTTTATGCTGCTTGTTAAGTGAATGACATTGTTAAATGAATCCAGTTTCCCTAATGTGTTTTTTGATCCAGATTTGCAAAAAAGGTTGTAAATTGCTATCATGTGACAACAGGATGCTTCAGCCAATCATAAATGCAAGCCAGTTGCCAAACAACCAAATTATGATCTTGTTATCACGGGGGAGGTGCATTAATCATAAGTGGGAGAACAAATTGTAAGTCACTTTTACCCAGGCTGTCATAACTTTGAACCATTGTTAAATGAATGGCCATAAATTGAGGACTACCTGTAAACAGGAGGAGAATGCAGAATATAAATAGCTCTCATTGATGTAATTTACTCTCACTGTGAATAGGTCTGATCTTCACTTTCTGATAGATTGATCTGTTTTCAATCAGAAAAAAATTAATGGGTAGAACAGAGGGTTGAAGAAGTAAAAAAAATGTATGATGTCTTCTGTGTATATGTACAGGAGGTTTTTTTTTCTGGAAATGTTTACATGGAGAAAGTTCAATGGAAGAAATGTGTCAAACTTTGAAGTCTGCAGGATTTAGCCCCCAAATATTATTGGTGAGTGTTGCCTGTTTTATTCTTTATTGTGGTCATCAGGCCTATATTCTAATTGCTTTTTGGTTTATAGCCAATATATGGGAAATAGCTCTCCTTGTTAGAATAGAATAACAGAGTTGGAAGGGACCTTGGAGGTCCCAACCAGACATAGGCAGGAAACCGTACACCACTTCAGACAAATGGTTATCCAANCCAATGCAGTCTTAGGTTGCATCAACAGAGGGATAGCTTCAAGATCACAGGAAGTGATAGTACTAGTCTATATGTATTAGTGAGGCCATACTTGGAATATTGCATCCAGTTCTTGTTGCATGGCACAAAAAAGATGTGAAGCAAGCCCTACCAAGAGTGCAGAGAAGAACAGCAAAGATGATAAGGGGTCTGAAGGCTAAATCCTATGATGAATAGTTAAGGAAACGTGGTATGTTTAGCCTAACCCCCCCCCCCCCAAAGAAACAACTTAGGGGTGACGTGATAGCCATCTCCAGTAGCGGAAGTACTGTCGTAAGGAAGAGAGGATTGATTTATTCTGCATAGATAGCATCTTGCGCTGCCCCACTCGCTCACACATTCATGTCACTATAGTTTATGGATGGTTTTATTGGTATTCCCCAGCAGTTCCCTTCACCTAGCTTTGGAACTGTCCCAAACGAAGCCAGCCACGACCATGCCCAGATCAATTCCCCAGGCAATGGTCAATTAGTCCATAAAACAAATAACAAGCTGCTCAAACAAGTAAATCCAAGAAATGAACATAAAGCCCCCAGGCAAAACTAAAAGTACATTTACATTAGCTCACTCGTTATAGAGGTTCAGAAGCTCAAAAGTCAAGCAGGAAACAAGGACAAACACATGGCCACAACCCACACATGTCGTTCCCAGCAATGCCTCCCTCTGTCTGCCGTACTAAATAGCTTCCCAGTGCAGTCATTCAAGAGGAACGGAGCCTTTTCCCAAGCAATCTGCAGACCTCAGTTTTCTGCCCTGCATGCTGTGAGATCCACCAAGGAAGGCAGCTCCTCCCCCTCCTCTTCACTGGCCTGCAAGCTGTCCCCAACAGAAGCCTGCGATTCTTTTTCTGCTGGCAGTTCAGGGTCAGTAATTAAAGTCGCAGGAGTCATCCAAGAGAGATGTCTCACACCTGAAGGCAGGACAAGAAGCAACGGGTGGAATTTCATCAGAGGGAGATTCAAACTGAAATTAAGGAAGAATCTTCTGACAGTGAGAACAGTTAATCAATGAAAAAGCTGCCTCCTGGACTTATGGGGTGTTTTTCATTGCTGGAGGTTTTCAAGAAAAAATTGGACAACAATTTACTTGGGATGGTGTAAGGGTAGTTGTTGGATTAGAAGACCTCCAAGTTCCCATTCAGCCTTATGATTGTCCGATAATTTTATTTTGGTATGTGGGTATCCTTATCCTCTTTGTTTCAAGTGATAGGGCACATTTTGCACATTGATATTGTTATAATTTATTAGAAGTGATGGCATATAAATGTTCCCCTCAAGTGAGCTGAAAAAAGGGACACACTGTATTGATATAGAAACTGTTTCAATGGAAGATCAGGTTATATGTCAACTGTACAAACTGTACTTTATCACTATTAAAACTTTGCTGCAATTTTCCAGGATATGGTAATTAAAATAAAATATATTGAATATATTTTATTTATTTTATTCAATATTTGATATCAATATATCAGCCTTAAATAATATATCAGAATATTTAGAAATTATTTATGATAGGTCCCATTATATGCTGCTTGGTGGTTATAATAACTTTTACTTCAAACTTTGAGAAGAGTCAACTCAGCTGCGGTTACCGTATTTTCACCCATATAACCCGCCCACGCAAATAACCCGCACACGCATATAACCCGCGGGTTTTCCGGATCGTGTAAAATGTTTCCCGTATACCCCGCCCACGCATATAACCCGCCCACGCATATAACCCGCGGCGAGTAAAAGAGAAGGGAAACAGCTGAGATGGGGGGGGGAAGAAACGGAGAAAGAAGCCTGCGCACGCTGGGGAAGAGGAAAGGAACGTAGGAGAAGGAAACAGCTGAGATCGGGGTGGGGGAAGAAACGGAGAAAGAAGCCTGCGCACGCTGGGGAAGAGGAAAGGAACGTAGGAGAAGGAAACAGCTGAGATGGGGGTGGGGGAAGAAACGGAGAAAGAAGCCTGCGCACGCTGGGGAAGAGGAAAGGAACGGAGGAGAAGGAAACAGCTGAGATGGGGGTGGGGGAAGAAACGGAGAAAGAAGCCTGCGCACGCTGGGGAAGAGGAAAGGAACGTAGGAGAAGGAAACAGCTGAGATGGGGGTGGGGGAAGAAACGGAGAAAGAAGCCTGCGCACGCTGGGGAAGAGGAAAGGAACGGAGGAGAAGGAAACAGCTGAGATCGGGGTGGGGGAAGAAACGGAGAAAGAAGCAAGCCTCCGATCGTGTAAGCCTCCGATCGTGTAAAATATTTTCTGTATACCCCGCCCACGCATATAACCCGCAGGGGGGCGCTGTGCATGTAAAAACCGCATATAACCCGCGGGTTATATGGGTGAAAATACGGTATTTCTGTCTGAATAACTTTTGAAAAGCTGAAACTTTTATAGAACTATAATTTTTTTTATTTGCTTCTGTGAATAGATAGCATTTGTGTTGTCATGGCCTACACTATCTGGTCATAAAGATCTGTATGCAGAAAATATTATCTACAACACAACCTTAAATAATAAATTGAAATAATAAGTAGTTGGGAAGATTATTGTTTATGTGCTTCATTGCACTGACTAATATTGGTTATTTCTGTTTTTCTAATCAAGGAAGCACATTTTCTCATCAGAGCCATAGAACATCTTGGATGCATTGATAATGGTTATATTCAACATGGTAAGAATAAAGAAAGTATTCTGGAAGTGTCAATGCGAAGTAGAGAATTTGATTCAGAATTATCTATGTGTTGAGTCCCCAGCTGTCATTTTTGTCTGCAAATCAAAACTGCATGGAAGTATTGAAGTATTCTGAAGTCAGTGTCAAAACTGGACTTGGTTCACAATAAACATTGTATGTCATGTTTGTCAGTGCCCCATTACATTAGTAAATGCTTATTAATTTATAAATAATTTGAAGATCTCTCCAAGCAACACATTGCTACTTAACAAATACAGGAAATATGAGAAGTGTGGAGCCTCTCTCAAATCAAAATTCCTACTCATTTAATGATACTTAACTCCCTCCCTCCTGGATCTATAGCCATGGTTTTCAGGTTACCACTTAATAAACACTTACAGGTAGAGCTCTGGGGTGAATTGAGCCCATGAAAAGACATACTCTTAGCTGTACGTCAGGTCCAGTCATTTTAGATTTTTCAGTTTTTTTCTAAAAGCACATATTTTTATGTTGGCTTTACTAAGTTGTAACTGTTAGCCGTAATCAATTACGAATTCTTCATTAATGAAACTGCTTGGTATTTATATATAAGTAAACCGTATAAATACTTATTATTGGCGTTTTTGAAACATGCAGTTTATGAGTTCACCTGGCAAAACCATTGATGGTGCTTGCCTAAATTTGTGTAACTATTTCAGGAATTGCTCTAATGATGTGGAACACATTCATAGTGAAAAGGCTGTCTGCAGCTACCTACTTAATGGACAAGGTATGTATTGCATTATGTTAAAAAACCAAGTTAAATAGAATATCTAATATCGCTTTCATATAAGGACTCTCAGTAAATGAAACTTGGTTAGCTATAGATTTTCAGGTCACTAAGTTCAAACCTTTCTTAGGACTGAATCTAAGTTATACAATTCTGTAGTTAGCTATACTCAATGAAGAGGAACTAATTACCTCTCAGGACAATTTGGTTCCACTCTTAAACACTGCTTACTTTACTGGGGTTATTTCTGATATTCAATTGACACCTGCCTTCTTTTAATTTAAATCTATTATTTCATCATTGACATTCTAGAGAAAAGAGCTTGGCTTTCTTTCTGAATTGCATTCAAATACTTGGATATTATTATTCTACGTGGAGTGCAAAACAAGACACAGCACACAAGGTGGTATCTACCAAAACAGTAGAAAGTAGAACTGTTAGTTCTTTTGATTTGAAAGCCATTAGGAACAATATTTTTACATACAAGTTCGTCCATCCTTCCCCCGCCCCCAAGGGGGAAGAAAAGTGGATGTTGCACTTGCGGGAGAATTTTAGGGAGGGAAAATCTTTTCATCCCTCTCAACTGCACACATTATTTCTTCAAACCGAGTTTCTCAGTGATTTTTTTTAACATCGTTTTTTTATTGCTGCTGAAGTCCATCAGTAGATGTTTTTTCCTCATCACTTCATCACCAAATCTAGACTCTGTCTCGATTGATTTACTAATTAGTTAATTAAAAGTTTGAAATAATTAATTCTGGGGAAAAGCACTAAGACTTAGCTACTAGTCATAACTTAAAAGAAATGTTATTTCACGCATACCCATAAACTTATGAGAAGTGGGGAGGAGGGAGGGTTTTTTAAAAAAAAATGTTTGTGGTGAACAGAGATGGCAATTTATCTATTTGTTGAGATGGAATATATTAGTGTATTGAGTCCTTCTAAATAAATTTCTGTCATAGGTTGGAAAAGCACCAAAAGACAGGTTATGCAGACGGGCAAGTAAACCTTTTTCTTTATTTATAATATGCATACAAGATCTGATGACATCTGTGTTAACCAGAATTTGGGGATTTCTGCCAACTTAAGCTAAGGCAATAGCCTTCGCTTCCAGCTATTTCATCATTTTATTTGGCTCACCTTTCTCTGAGCTCAGCCCAAGAGACACCTATTATTTTAGGTTTTTAATTTAAGATGATATTTAAGACAAATTTCCATGAAGCGAACATGACTTTGAGCAGATTTGTACTCCTTCATTCACTTTTTCCCTCCATCTTAAGCATGTTTTTACCAGAATAAAGTAGTTCTGATGTTTAGGTTTGAATGAGGAGCTTTATTTGTTTCTCTACAAAGTTAAAAGTAAAAATGTTTTCACTGAATCTAAAGATTGGAGGGAATCTTTGAGACCATGTAGCTCAATCTCCTGCCCTTTTAAGGAATTATTGCTACACACTAGTGTATTTGCTGGCCCAGTTATCTTGTATTTTTCCTCAATCAGATTTGGTTGAGTGATGCAGAATTTGTTTCCGATAAAGTAAGCTCCATATCCATTATCCACCTCTGTTGTATTAGAAATGATGCTGATGCCAGTTGCCAGTTGCTCAGATTTCTTTTAAAGTTCAACTGAAAGAACAAACTAGAAAAAGGCCTGGCAGCCTTGTGCTGAATCGGTTCAACATCTTTCTCCTAAAGAATTAGCATTGGACAACTATGATTGAAACTCCACAAATTATATATTATATAGAATTCTTGATGAAAAATATACCATTTTTTTGTAAACTTGCTGCCTATGTGTGTCTGCATCCTTTCAAAATTTGAAACTTTAGCAAATGTGTGGCAATATTCCGATTAGGGCCTTTTCAGAGAATGACATCTTCCATTGAAAAATTACTGGATCTAGTAATTTTCAATTTATTTAAATATAAATTTGACTGTTGATGAAATATATAGATGTAAATACAAAAATATATAAAACATTTAGTCAAAGAACTTTATAAATTAAAAAATGCATTGAATACTGAGTCTTGCATGACTCATTTTTTTACTGCTCAGATTCTTCTTTTTGCATTAAATGTTTAATTTCCGTCTACAAATATTTTAAAACATATTCAAGAAATGGGTTTTTTTTACAAATGAATTCCTCTTTGTCAAATAGGATGTAGGGATGAGTGACAACGCAGTGTCCTGTTTCCTTGGGTCTTGCTCAGATCTTCTTCAGATTCTCATGGAGGTAACAACTCCTTCCTCAACCTAAACTGCACATTATTTCTAATACATTCATCATCTCTCATCAGTCTGACCAATTTTAAACTAATGTCAATAGTTCTGTAAATTAAACCTTATGTAAGGATTGTTGCCAAAGATTCCTGTAAACCAGAAGATAGTAACATAATGCAATTTTTAGCCACATTCCACTTGAATAAATGTTTTCATTTTTTTAAGCTGTACATTTTTTTAAATTTTCAAGTAAGATTTCTTGATGCAACTGTTACTCCTGGTCCTGCTGATAATTTTCCTCCTTCTCCAACTAACCTCTGAGTTTCTTTGAACATGGCCAATGTGCCATGTTCAATTACTTTTAAAATACCAATGCTTTTCTCTTTCTTACTGCATCAGGCTGATATACGGTGTGATGAAATGCCACTTCCTGTGCTGGACACAGAAGATGCCTGGGTGTCTGTTGAAGGACAAAGCTCGTTAGTGGAGTTAGCACTTGAACAGAAACACATCCATTATCCTCTGGTTGAGCACCAGTCCGTGCTCTGCATCATTTTGTATGGAACCATGAAGTTCTCCCTGAAGAGTGTGAAACCCCTCTCTCTTTTTGATAGCAAGGTATGCGGACATGACACTTTGTTGAAAACTGCTGACTCTCAAATGTGGGCTCCAAGTTAAACAGTGGTGGATTCAAAATTTTTACTACCAGTTCTGTGGGCGTGGCTTGGTGGGCATGGTGTGGCTTGGTGGGTGTGGTGTGACTTGGTGGGTGTGGCAGAGGAAGAATACTGTAAAATCTCCGTTACCTCCCCATTCCAGGGAAAGGATACTGCAAAATCCCCATTTCCTCCCAATCAGCTGGGCCTCAGGAGGCAGAGAATAGATGGGGGCAGGGCGAGTCAAAGGTGGTATTTACCAGTTGTCCGAACTACTCAAATTTCCGCTATCGGTTCTCCAGAACAAGTCAGAACCTGCTGAATACCACCTTTGAAGTTAATTGAATGTGAAAAGTATCTCTAACCCTAGAGTTTAAACTCATGCAGGGCATTGAATGAGAAGCTGTGGTTAGAATAGAAAAAATCTAGAAGTTGGTGGAAGTTTTTTGGGCAGTTCTCCTACCAAGTTAGATTTTGTATTTTATCCACCTACATAGGAATCAAGGCTAATTGACTTTACAAATTCCGAACAGAAATTAATGCTGCGTTGACCTGGGAAGCAGCCTATTTACTCCCATACTTTGCATACTGTATACTTGCATTAAGCAAGTGTAGCTGTTTTCTATCTTGTTCCTCTGTGTTCCATTCTTACAGGGTAAAAATGCTTTTTTCAAAGACTTGACTTCAATTCAGTTACTGCCTAGTGGAGAAGTAGATCCCACTCTGCTTAGCTTACGCCATCAAGTAAGTTAAATCTGGGGAGGAAATGAACAAGCGTAGGTTTCTTTTTTGCAAACTGGTGCTGATGTGGAGGTTTTTCTTTTGCTTGCAAGTTCTTAACCAAACTGGTGAGTGCACTGGCTCAGGCCCAAGCTCCGTCTCAGATGTCAGACAGATCGGAAGAAGTTGCAGTGTCACTAAAGGATAGGGATTGGCCTGCCTTGGCTTTGGATCTGGCACATCATCTTCAAATTTCTGAGGATATAATCAGACGGTACTACGTGTGTGAGCTCTATAATTACGGCCTGGATCATCTTGGAGAAGAGGTACACATTTTACACACACAAATTGTATGCACAGCAGTCATGCATTTCTGCCTGTTGAGGGCAGCAGCAGATATACAAATTGTACAGTTTTGTCATGGTTATTAGTGAAACTTCTTTACATTGCTCTCAAATCCTGGCTTGGTTTTTTCCCCCTATAAATGCAAAGATGCATTTTGAATACGTTTGATTAAAAAAGCTTGCAGAATTTTTTAAAAAAAAAGCTTGCTAGAGAAAGGATAAACTGACTCTAGCAGATTAAAAAAGTATTCTAAGTGATTATGGAGAGTGTACTAGAGACAGTAGAGAACAACCAAGTATATGATGTTATAATACCGTGTCTTATTTAAGGTGGAGAACATTTCCCAAATTGGCTGCCACAGTTGTCACACCATTGCTCCAAATTTAGATGAAATTTAGGTCAATCAGGATCCATTGCTCTATATTACTGTTCATGTGCTTTCCTCCACTGCAGCATCTTTTATGTAGATATGGGTTGGGGAGCAGAAGCAACTGTAGTGGTTAGTCTACACCTATTTCCCTCTGAAGACCATATGAAACCTATGTTAATACAAACTATACAATTGTGTGAAAAGCTGTAGTATTATAGCAATACTATCCTGGAAAACATCCAGAAAACATTGTTAGGTATAGTTCTGACTTTAACACCCATGATCCAGTGAGTTCAGGTGCAGATAAGCAGCTAATAGGAGTGAGAAATTTCTCCTCTCTCTAAAATAAACTTCTGGCACTGGTACTGCTGTTTTTGCATGTCTTCATCTGGTGTGCCATCTAGAAAGGATGCCTTCTTACGCATCTAAACATAAAAAAGAGAAGTGCACCTGTTTTCCTCAAGATTGTGCCCTCCAAACTTTGTGCCTTGTAGCAGAAAATGGGAAGGAGAGTAGGAATTAAGAAGAGGTTTTTATTAAAAGGAAAAGAAAAAGCTTTTGGAGCCTTCTCAGCATTTGCTCAGAAACTAGTCACTCCTAAGCCAAGACGCTTACTTATGAGACACTTGAAATCTCCAAATTTGGTATTAATTGCGCTTTCTTATGTGTGGATCAAAAAAGGTTTTTATGTTTGTATTGTGGTGCTTTTTTCATGCCCTATATATACAAGAATTTTAGAACATATTTACGCACATATTCACAAACACACACACACAACCAATCACACGACCTTCACCCTTTTTTCCCTATGCACCCCATTTCTGATATGCCAACACAGTATTATACAATAGAGTAAAGCCTTGCAATGACTAAGTCTTGCAGGGATTAAAGGAGTTAAATTTGATTTTTAAAAACTTTAAAACCTTTGTATGTTGGCTTTATAAATTTGTACATTTGACCATTACCATATTATTTTTTTGTGAACAAACTGTTCTCTTAATACTTTTAACTAACCTTTGACAGGGTACTTTTTAAAATGAAAAGTAGCTTCATGGGAAGGTGCCTTCTTGGACTGACTTGCATGTCCATCGGAGGCTTCTTTTCAAAAGTTGTTTTGAAAAACAAGTATTGTGTGTTGCAAGAGTAACAGCTGACATAGTTGATGTCTTGTATATGCAGGCTGTTCTTCAGGTAGAGGACAAAGAAGTGCTTGCATCCCAGTTGTTGGTTCTGGCTGGACAGAGGCTGGCCTATGCTTTACTGCACACTCAAACAAAAGAAGGCATGGAGCTCTTGGCCAGACTACCTACAACACTTTGCACTTGGCTTAAAGCTATGGTAAGATCCACTGCTTTTTACACATATTGCAAGATAAGGAACGGTGTATTCAGAAAACTGTAATTTAAGAAGTTGATAGGTACTTTTGTTTATTAATGCTGTACAAAAAAATGAAATGGATGCAAAAAGGTTTCATACGTGAAAATGAAAATAGAGTAATATATGTTGCTCAGCAGCAGGAAAGCAGGGCCAACTCATTTGAGCATGCTTACCTAAGATGTACAATATAGGAGCCAACGTGACATTTACACCACTATTTCCCTAATAGCATGCGCTGCTTAAATATTAACAGTCTATATGGCGTGGAATCTGAACTTTGCTATGGAGGCATAAGAGTGTGTGTAATTTATCTGAGAATTTCATGAGTTATTTATACAGTACAAGTAGTACACTCAGCATTTGTCATATTTTTTGGAAAAAGGATGGTGCAGAGTAGAGATGGGCTTCATTTAATCCATGTTATTGTACAAATGTATTGAACAATGCACACACCTGCTTCATATTGGTCCTGCAGCAGTTGGAGGCGGAGCTTTATTTCACTTCAGTGCACTGCACAAAAACATAGACAAGAATTGATGATGTGTGTATGGTTAATTTAAGGGTAGGGTAAGCAGTCTTTTTAAAGACGTTTTTTCCATCTCAGAATTAACCCCAGAAGTAAAGTGGTGAGGTTGCTTTCTGTAACTAGAGTTTTGCTGTCTTAGCTGTCAAACTTCTAAATAAAGCAAGAAGTCATTCATCTTCTTTTATCTTCTAAGAATGGCTGTGGCAGGGTTGAAAATTCTTGGAAATGATCCTAAAGCTTCAACAGTAGTTATCTGCTATATTCATCACTGAATTAGGGTTCATTCATAAAACTAGTTTAAAAGGAGGTTCCTAATCATGAATAGAGATTCTCTTAGGTTTATCAGTTAGGTTTTAGAAATGAACTGGTATGTCTATTTCTTGTAGAGAAACCTAAAGACTATCTCAATTCTCTCTGCAGGATCCACAAGATCTTAAAAATGTAGAAGTGCCAATTACTACAACAGCTAAATTGGTAAATAAAGTGATAGAACACCTACCAGAAAACCATGGGCAGTATAGCATTGCCTTGCATTTAATTGAAGCTGTGGAAGGAATGTCATGACAACAAGACTGAAACTGAAGCATGGTGGCTAAACAGGTCTCTAATAAAAATGAAGATTGTATATAAGAACCAGAATCATCTTGATGAAACAGTCTCAACATCTTTGGTAATCTAACAGTTCAAGACTTTCGGGGATGATAAATATATGTTAAGATCTACCGTTGGTGGGTAATACCAGCAGTGTGTATATTTGTGTATAACTCTAAATATTTATTTCTAATACCGAGCATTTGTGTAATAGTTTGCTTAAGAACAATTTAGTGCTGTTCAAATTAACATATTAAGAATTTCCTATGTGCTAGAAAATAGACTGCTTTTTAAATGTTAAAACAAGATGAATTCAACCAGAAGCCAAGAAATCAGAGCTCTTAAATATTATGTATGCTGGTTAGGTAATACTTCTTCAAAATGATAGCCTAATTACATTTAATCAAGAGGCAATTGGCCATAAACTTGCAGCATTAAAGAATGGCTTTCTACAGTTATATTATAGCTGAGTTTTCACAATAAAAACAGTATCAACTTATGAGGAGCAAGCTGTCTGATGAGAAAAATTATCATTGTGGAAACAAAAAAAGGTGTTGCCTCTTCATGTTTTAAATATCAAATAAAATCAGGAATCTAATTTTAGTTTATCACTTTTGTAAAAACATTGGTCTCATTTGTAACAACTTTCCTTGCTGTACAGCTAATTGTAATTTGGTGTACTGCATTCTCTTCCCTATGTTGAATGTTATATTTGGACCATAACTATTCCAATATATGACAGTGTTAACAATTGAGAAATTGGTCTGACTTTTAAGATATGTGGCCTTCAACTCCCAGAAATCCCTAACCAGCATGATGGATGGGGAACTCCAGGAGTTGAAGTCCATGTATCCAAAGTTGTCAAGTTCGAAAACCCCTGGAGAGAATGCTGAAGTTAGCATAGAACAGTTGAAGGAACTAGGTAGCTGTTGTCTGGAGAAAAGAGGCTATGGTGATCCTTCAGTTATTGTGACAGAGTAGTCTGAAATTCAGTGGGACTAGGTGATAGAACCAAGTTTATGAAGATCTTTCCATCTGTCTGTTGTTGACGGTGAGTGGAGACTTTGTAAAAGAGTATTTCACTCTTAAATGGTTAACAATCACAGTGAAAAATTAATTGAATACTGAACTCGCACCCATTCTGTGGAAAGCAGAGCCATCCACTCATATTTATTGCTACACAGTTAAAGGGCAAATGCTTATTTAACAAAGTAATTTCTTAATTATGATTGAGAAATCTAGATCAGGATGAAGGTTCCACATATTTTTTTTCTTACTGATATGTGATCTGCGTTGGCGGAGGGGGGGGAGGGGGTTGATTGTGCTGGAAGTAACTACAGAAAAAAGGTTCATGCAGACCCATGAACGGCAATAAAGCTGCACCACCTAAGTGCTAAAGTCTAAAGTCAACTGTCAGCTAGCTAACACCAGACTAAAAAAGCCAGCTTGTTCATGGATTTGAATTCCTCTTGTGCTGCTTTTCTGACTTACAAAGAAAAGGACTATCAGCCATTTTAGTAAGCAGTTTATTAAGTGTACAAGCTTAAATATATACACGTGAATTTTGAATTTAGCTTTCCAGCTTTCAGACAAACAATATGTTGGTTTCTTGTAGATACTTCTATATTCCACGTTTTCTCAAAATGTGAATCTTGTTTTAGCCAGCACAGCTATTTGACCGCTATGGGAATAGGTATCATTTCTCACCAAGTATTTGCATACAACGTGTACATGGAGTCTCTGCTGAATCAGCAGTGTATTTTCGACAACGGGGGCATTTTGATTTGGCAGCTGGTAGAACAATGACTTTATAGGCAGACTCTTCTCGGATATCACCACCTATTTCAGAAAAGATTCAAATTAATCCCACATGAAAGCCCATTCTTTGCTGACTTATCTCTAGATCAAGAGAAGTTCTCTAGTCCTATTATCACATGCCCCAAACACATTCAACATGTTGTGGATGTGTAACAAAAATCTACTTTACCTTCTAAATTTATTAGAAATGTGCCTTTAATCATATCATCAGCATTCACATCTCTAGGTATTTCAGTCAGCAGCGTTGTCTGTGATGCCATCATTATTTCATTTAACTGAGATGTACTAGAGCACCCCTCAGGTTGCAGCACCTAAAGATAAATTATCATGCTGACTAGTTTTTGAAAAGGGTACAAATGCAAAAAAATCAGTGACAATTCAAATTAAGACAATAAGCTAGTTTGCCTGGTTTGCCATATTTGAGCCATAATGTGATTTGGTACCAAGACATGCAAACATACGTCTACTTTGGCTTGTTCAGACTTAATACTGAATATTAAATTCAGGATTAATACTGTGATATCGGATGTATGCACAGGACTTTATTATAATTTCCATTTATGGTGATGGTGTACCATTATGTACAATTCAAGAACTCATAAGACATGACCACACTAGGGAACTATGTTATATAGCTACATCTTGTTAGTCTGTAATTGTAGATATATATAGTAGGGCTCTACAGTCCGAATACATGATCTTTTCAAACGGGGGGCTATCTAACTCCTCAAATACTTTGCCTCTATTTCAAGAAAGTGAAACCACCAAATAAAAAGGGAGAAGTATAGGGAATCTTGGTTACAAACAGTTCAGAGTCCAAGGTTGAATATTACTGAACTGCATATCTTGTTCCCTAAAAGTAGAAAAGTCAACAAAAACAAAATGGAAGTCAAAGGAGGCCTTTATTTTAAAACGGGCAAGCAAACAAAGCAAAAAAAAAACACTTTGTGCTCAAAATCATAGGATCATAGGGTTGAAATTGGGCAAATAAACATGTTCTATATCTTGTCTTTGGATTCTGTATCTTGCTTATCTAAATCTAAAGTAGTATTTATCATAATAATAAATGAACGTTTCTATGTCAGTGTTCGACCATTACAGGTAGTTCTCAACTTATGACCATTCTTTAATGACCATTCATAGTTGCAAAGTGACTTAAAACTGATTCCTGCACTTATGATCATTGCAACGTCTCAATAGTAATATGATCAAAATTTGGGCACTTGGCAACCAGTATGTATTTACGAAGGTTGAACCATTGGGGATCACGATTACACATTTATGACCTTCCCAGCAAAGCATCAAGCAAAGCCAATGGAAGAAGTCAGCCACAGCAAAAAGGTCGTAAATTTGGTCATGGCTCAATTAATGACTGCATCAGTTAGTGACAGAAGTTCTGGCCACAACTCTGGTCATAAGTCAAGATTACCTGTAATTAACTGAGTAAATATCCCTTTATATTTGTAAGTATTTCTGAATTAAGGCATTATAAATGGCTTTTCTCAATAGCTTTTCTTAAACATTTGAAAATTAAAGTACTAGTTAAGATGTAATATTAGGTTATGAGTTTTCTGCTTACCTCCATTAATTCAAAGAACAACCCAGGCTCAATCACTAGAATCACCTGATATTCCGCAGCATTTTTGCCTGCAATAAAGCCCAGGAAACCATCTCTCATTGCACATGCTCCATCCACTGCTTCTTCAAGGCCTGGTTTCTTCCATACAGCACTTGTGGTCATCCATCCGGAACGAAATACACTATCTGACTCTTGCAAAAGAAAAGGGTGGGGAAAATGAATGCATTAGCAGCTCTGTAAACAGCATTGTACTATATAAAGCTAAGAATAAGGGTTAAAATTTTATGTGGGCTTGTCTGAACCCAACCCAGAAACTTCAGCTGATGGAGATATGGTTGCTCATTGAGGTGAATTCATTAGATTACACACCAATATTTGTCTCTGATCAAGGAAACAATTTTTATGAATTAAAGTTTCCCATTCACCTTAAGTGGCCACGCTTGAGTTTATATGTACCTGCCTCCCAATAATTTTTAGTAATATAAGCCAGATCAGCAGTTTCCTCTAGAGCCGGAGTGTCAAACTGATAGTCTGTGGGCTGGATGTGTCACATGCGAATGTCATGTGATGCAATGTGACGCCGTGAGTTTGACACCCGTGCCCTACAGTATAAGTGCTAAAATTACTCTATAGAATCTGGTTTATTTTGTTGTTAATTGCGAAGTTGTGTCTGACCATCGTGACCAGGCCCTCCTGTCCTCTACCATCCCCCCGAGTCTATTTAAGTTCACGCCTACTGCTTCAGTGACTCCAGCCAGCCACCTCTGCCATCCCCTTGTTCTTTTGCCTTCAATTGTTCCCAGTATTAGGCTCTTCTCTAGTGAGTCTTTCCTTCTCATTAGGTGGCCAAAGTATTAGAGTTTCATCTTCAGGACCTGGCCTCTAAAGAGCAGTCAGGGTTGATCTCCTCTAGGACTGATCGGTTTGATCGCCTTGCTGTCCAAGGGGCTCACAGTAGTCTTCTCCAGCACCATAGCTCAAAGGCCTCAATTCTTTGGCACTCAGCCTTCCTTGGGGTGTTCTTAATTTTAAATTTTGCACTGAGCAAGTGTTTGAATTCAGTGATCTGACTATGATTCCATAAATCTGCAAACTTGCCTGGACAATTATCGGTACTTTATTAAGGTACTAGTGTGACTTAGTTTAATTTTAAAATGTGTACAAGCAGATTTCATCCTGCAGCTAAGAATTTTAATGACTAAATAAAATTAATATTGATCGTTCTATTTTTTACAACACAAATGTAAATTAAATGAGTAATGAACTCAACACATTAAGAGGTTTATGTGAAGAATCTAAGAATCTCAGTAAAATGTCTGTTTTCTTAACCATTTTATAATTCTCATACCTTTTCTGTATGGAATATACTGGAATACCTCTTCAGCCAGATGTGGAAGAATTGGTGCAAAAGAACGAACCATTGTATCCAAAACTGCTGCCAAGGCTGTTTGACATGAACGGCGTTTAGCATCTTTTTCCTCTTCACAATAAAGTCTGGATTTTAGAGAACAAAATAATTGGGGAAACAATTTCTAAACATTAAATATTTTTGGAATAAATAATGTGTATCAAAATGCATGTGAGCTTAAGAAACTAGCCATTTATGTTAGTTACAAAATAATCCATCTCACTGTGTCTAATCTGGAAGGATTTATCTTGGGGACAAACAGCACAGAACATGCATTTCTCATTTTATCTGATAAGGCGATAAAAAAGTTCACATACCTGTCCTTAATTATACTAAAATAAAAACTGGAGAGATCTTTACTACAAAAGGCTTGAAGTAATCGGATGACTTTTCCATAGTCATGTTCCTTATATGCCTGTGTAACCTAAGGAATAAAGTACAAAAAAACCCCACCTAATTTAAAATGCAAGTAATTGTTATTCCAAAGAAAAATAAAGATGGAAAGGAGACAGGAAGCACCAGAAATTAGAAGTTAGTGAGTATAAACAGTATCTAACCAGAATCTAAATTATTGGCAGACTTAGCTAGCTAATCCCAAAGGTGCTTTTTCAAGAGGCAACTGGACTTTCTTTATCCTTGAAGCTGTTTCATCTCTCATCCAAGAACTGAAGAAGCTTCTTGGATGAGAAACGAAATGTCTTCAAGGGAAAACAAAAAAAGTCCAGTTGCCTTGAAAAGTCCAGTTGCCTTGAAAAAGCACCTTTGGGACAACCATGACCTTGATGGCCGAGAATCTCCACAGACATTTAGCTAATCATTTTTGTGCATTCATACTATTTAAAGCAATACCAGACCAACCAAGTATTGTCCTTTCCTTCTCCTCCATACTACTCTGTCCAAGATTTCTCCAGTCTTATAACTGTCTCCCTCCTTATCATAAAATTAGGTTTTGATAATCCACTCCTTACTCCTTCCAAGATATAATAGTGGTTTAGATGATTGCATCTTTGGAATTGTTGATTTCAGCAAAGGAGAAAAGATGATGTCTAATTGTAGCATGGCCAAAGTATTCAAATCGTCTTGGCTATGCAGGGCCTAATCCAGCAAACATCCACAGAAGATAGGAAGCTGGTAGTTAGATGTTGGTCTCTGAAGACATGTCTTCTACCTTCCAGCTGTAATTTTCTTCTCTATTCACATTTTGCTAATGTATTTGGTAAACAAATGTTAAGGTTTTCTACTGGATAGAATGTTACTAAAGATGGAGAAATGGATGGAGAAACGCTACACACACACACACACACACACTAGCAGAAAAGTAGTAGAGGGTAGTGGTCTGTTGTAAGGTATTCTCTTAAGCCGCAAGTTGATTTCTATAGCAGTTGTTCCAGTACAATAATGCAACAGTTAAAAGAATTATTTTCTCCAAAAATGTATCTATCCAGTTCACAGATCAACCGTTCTGTGCTATAAGTGTCCATAGTTCCAACCACTCCCTAGTGCTTACCTTGTTAGCGAAGCCATGCAGTAGATGGAGTATGAACTGGTCTATCAGATACATCTCTGATGTAGGGATAGAGTCTGTCTCTGGGCTGAAGCCAGTCAGATTCCCCAACAAAAAACGGAGTGTATTTCGAAGCTATCAACAAATTCCAAAATAGTTCATGAATTAAAGTACCGGTAATTATTTGAAAAAATGTTTACCATAAATATAACCATGTATTTCAAGTACGTTATTTATTTTGGGAGGCAAAAAGAACCCTGGAGATCTTTCAGACAGGCTCTTCTATCTTAAGATCAGGGGTGGGTTCCTGCCAGTTTTAACCTCTTCTATAGAAGAGGTTCCACAAATCTACAGTGCTGTTTAGAACTGGTTCCAGCTCTCTCCCCCAGCCCGTCCACACATCATCAAGATGAACAGCGAGAGGAGGAATTCTAGGAGTTGAAGTCTACAAGTCTTAAAGCTATCAAGTTTCAACACCCCTGGTTTTTTTTTAAAAGGTTAGGGATGCAAGGGTCTTGTAACTTGACAGCTTTAAGAATTGCACACTTCAATGCCAGAGTTCCTGAGCCAACATTTTGGTTGCTAAGCAAGAGCGTTGTTAAGTGAGTTTCACCATATTTTACAAGTTGGCCACGGCAAGCCACTCCCACAAAGCAGGGTACACCTACAGAAGAGGTTCTAAAATTTTGTGAAACCCACCACTGTTTAAGATTTGTTTTGAGATTTAGGGCGAGGTGGCATGGAAATATTTAGAACTTTTCTGGAAATCATCCAAGAGAGTTGCTAATCCTAAAACTTTATGGAATGATTCTCAAAAGCCACCATATTTCTTCTAGTTCTTTTACCAGTCTCTTCTTCAAAGATTTGGTTTGCAGTGATATAGAAAGGAGAGATTCCTAATGAGTAAATCTGTCTTAATTCCCATTAATGATGAGTAAGTCCTTTGATTAGAATACAACACTTTGGACAGGTATATTGCACTTGAGGTCTAAATACAAGGAACATATATTTCGATATTTAGTGAAATTTGCAGTTTAAAAATGTCACACATTGAATACCGCATGTAGAAGGAACAGACAGAAAAGGAGAACTGGCTGGCTTGTGATATCAATTATTCTAGGATCAATAACCATGAAGGGCTAGAGTCAGTTTGTGCTTCAAAAGTAGAGAAGAAACCATGAGATCCTGCCTTAGGTACAAAAGTGAGCTGGTGGATTTGGGCCAGACACTTTCTCTCTGCTCTAGGAAGAAGGCAATGGCAAATCTAAAACTCAACATTTTTGAAAATGTTGTCAATAAAATTGCAAGCAGTTGTCCCTATATTTGCTAAGAATTTACTTGACGGTACAGATAAATAAATGCAGCCATGATGGGTAAAGTCATTACTATTATCATAAGATACACAAGTGAAAACTATTCCAATGGCAGATGAATAGAAAACTACTATTGAGATGCTATTGATACACCTTCTTTCCTGATTACATATTCCAGAAAGCTGAACTATTTTTGTAGTGGCTTCTACTTAGGAAAAGGCAACAGTGTGTTTGTTTGCTTACCTTGTTAATATCATCTTGAGCAGAACTGAGCACTGTAGGTCCAATTTGCACTTCTGTATAAACATTGGACTCAGCCACCCACCAGCGTAAAGTATCAGCCCCGTATGGTGGCTCAGTGCTATGGTCCTATACATTGACAAGATGGAGAGGAAACACCTTTCAGTGCTGGTAATTGCTCAATGAACCCCTGTTCTCCGAAATAAATTCAACATATTATTTTATAACTGTGCAGCAAATTGTGCCATAAAGACATTTCCCCAGAGAAATATAGAGATAATGTCAAGAATTGTGGAAAAATAAATTTCTGACAAAGTATTTGTTGGACAACTCATGTGAAAGTAAAATGCTGAATAGTGTTAACTCTACAAAGCATGCCTCATTAAAAAAGAAACAAGCTGCTTATGTTATTTATTATTAGATTAGATTTTTATCTCACCTTTATTATTTTATAAGTAACTCCAAGCAGCAAATGTACATAACATTCTCCCCTCCTATTTTCTCCACAGCAACAACTCTGTGAGATGGGTTAGGCTGACAGAGAATGATTTGCCCAAGGCCACCCAACTGGCTTATGTCCCTAAGGTCAGACTAGAACTCACACTCTCTTGGTTTCTAGGCCAGCACCTTAATCACTACACCAAATTAACTGCAAAGTGAAAGTAGCAAACCATGTTTGCTACTTGAACAACCTTGACATCAATCAAGGCGGGACACTGCCAGAAAACAAGTGTCCTGCTTGCTGCTCTGCAAAATATCATACACACGCACACACATATTCTCATACCCTAGCAAGTAGAAGCAATGTAGCATTTTGATAGTGATAGACAGACCCAGATTCTTAGGAATTGAATATCACTGGATGACTTTGGAACACACTCTCTCTCTTGACCCAAATTTACTTCACAGGGTTGTTAAATGAAAAAATTGAAGGGAACATCTTGTATGCTTGACTTGAGCTCCTCTACAAAAATAATAATAATAAAGCAATAAATAGCTGCTGATATAACTACTTAAGGATGGCCTTCTTCTGAGGACTAACTTAATATAAAAGAAGCAACAGTTCTGTGGTGAATCCGGAAGTGCAGTTTTCATGATCTATAAATATCTTCCAGGTAATTTTATTGAAAAACAAAACCTACAAATCCTTAATGCCAACCATGTTGGCTAATAGTGATATGGCGCTCAAGTCCAGTATCTAGGGATTGAAGATTGAGAAAGACTTAAATAAAGTGTTTCCTACACATTAGTATCAGTCTCACAAGTAAATCTGAATTTTAAAGTTAGGACTGCCTCTCTGAGAACAAGGTTGATCAATAGACCTAACCTTAACTCTTAGAAGATATGGTAGTAAGTAGAGACAAGGTAGCAGAAGCCCACTAGGGAGAAAAAGGCCCTTTTTTGTTAACTTTGGTAACAAAAGACTAAACCATATTTATTTGTACCACCGTCCCATTTCCCCCCACAACATCTTTGTAAGGTAAGTGAGACTAAAAGAAAGTGATCAGTTCACAATTACCCAGTGAATTTCCCTGGCTGTTGGTGGACTTGAATCTACCAACCTTTATTGGTAGCCTAACACCGCCAACCACTATACTTTACTGCGTTGATCACTCCAATTCACCAAAACATCAATTTTCCCTTTGCCTCCAGCAGTCATCTCTACTTGAGCCAGGCACAAAGGTCCTCCCATCAGTTTGTGCAAATGAAATGCTATAAAAGTCTCAAAGCAGTCCTGCCTGTTGAGATCTGTTTTTATACTGATCTAAGTGCACTAAGTACTTAAAGGTGACCAAACTATGACAATGAACACTGTTGTTGGGCCCTGGTTTTCCATTAGTTTTGCTTAACACTTTGCTTTATGTGCCATAGGAATGAAAAATACAGAAAAAGGAAGGCAGTCTCTATATAGAAACCAACACCCTCCCCCCTCCCTGTGCATAGCGTGTAACAACATAGACCCACACCCGGCTAAATAAAAAAACTGCAGCCAAGGTTAAAGCTTTTGCAGCTTCTCTTCCCCACAAAGCAACCACTCATAAGCAAACTGAGAAGCAATAAAACTGTTCATGTTTATTACTATTCGTTTCTATAGCCGATGCTCTCAGATCTATGAGCAAATGATTGTTTGAGAACATACAGGGAAGTTTGCCAGTAAAATAATCTAACTCAAGGGATATGTGAAGCTGGACTTTATCTTTTCATCAGGAGCTTTGGACTTTTCCTGCATGGCAATGAGAGCAAAATCAAAGGCTTCTGAGGTTAATAAACTATGTTAAATGCATCAGCCACAGTTTAAACTACCAAAACCAATGTTCTGTTGTATGCTGCCTTCCAGGAATACTAAGACTATTCATGTGCTACTTTTTCTAAATTGCAAAAATCTGCATGACCATGAGATGACAAAAAGCAGATGTTGATGCCAAAAAGTGTACCATGCTGGCATCTGGTGGCTTGATGGAATTTTGTAGTCCTTACATGGTAACTCTACTATTAATGTTAGAAAACACATTGAGCTGCCCAAAATACTATTTTGCCAATAATAAAGATTTAGATTTATTTTATTTGTATGCCGCCCTTCTCCGGGAGGGACTCAGGGCGGCGAACAACTCAAAGGGGAAAAAAGGGAAACATAGAACACAATTCAAGTAGTTAAAATAGCCAAGAATCGCACAACCACACAGGTCGAGAGGGGAGGGGAACTCATCAACCCCAGGCATGCCGGCAAAGCCAGTTTTTGATGGCTTTTCGGAAGGCCTGGAGAGAGGTGAGGGTCCGAATCTCTGCAGGGAGTTCGTTCCAGAGGGCCGGAGCTGCCACAGAGAAGGCCCTCCCCCGGGTAGTAGCCAGGTGGCATTGGCTGGTAGACGGAACCCGGAGGAGGCCGACCCTGTGTGATCTAATGGGTCTTTGGGAGGTAATTGGCAGCAGGCGGTCTCTTGATTTGGTAATCAAGTCACATCACACTTCTGTCAGAAGCGCCAAGGCACTTCCGGGTTGAAAATATTAGCCGGTGACATCACTGTCGCCTGGAGGACACCCAGTTAGGAGTTCTTGTCATGTTCCTAGCTGGAGATGGAGGAAGGACGAGAGCTCATCCCTCCCCATGGCAGCACTGAGGTTTGAACCCGGGTTTGCTCACTTGCAACACATGAGCCACCATGCTCCTTCGTAATCAAGTAAAAGTT